ATAGCCCCCTGGGGGGGTTTTGACCCTATGGTGCCCCCCCACCTACCCCAGGCCCCCCCCCAAGACCCCGACATCAGTGCCTGAAGGGATTGAGGGGGGCGTCTGCGACCCTTTGGCGGGTGGGAGTTAGCCCCTCGTGGGCTTCATGCATCCCCCAGGCAGGGGGAGAGATGTCCTGACCCCCCGCCGTTGCCCCGCAGCCCCCCCGCAGCCACTTCTCCAACATCGAAGCCAGCGAGAGCGAGGAGGTGCGGCAGTTTCGGAGGCTTTTCACCCAGCTGGCCGGAGATGTGATTACCTCCCCAGGCCCCCCCAGCCGTGGGGCCCAGATGGACCCAAAGCATCCCACAATCCTTTGCAAAAGGCTTCCCCTTCCGCACCCTGCCGGGGTGCAGCTGCTTCTGGGGTGGAGCTGGGCCCTGGGTTACACTGGGCAGCTGGGGAGGTGGGGGGCACTGGGGCAGGGGGTGACCCCCTTCTGCCCCCCCGGCAGGACATGGAGGGGAGCGCCTCGGAGCTGATGAACATCCTCAACAAGGTGGTGACGCGACGTGAGTGACGGCGGGGGGAGCCGGACGCCTGGTTCCCGGCCAGCCCAGGGGGCTGGGGTTTGCTCTGAGCTGGAGTGGATCTACTCCTCCCTGCCCCCGGGATCCACTCCCTGCCCCTGAGGTTGATCTCTGGGATCTACCCCTTGCTTCCCCCGATGTCCCCCTCCTCCCTGCCCCTGAGGTATCTATTCTTGGGGTGTACCCCCCCCTTCACCCCAGGATCTGCTCTACCCTTGGGATCTACCCCTGCCCCTGAGGTATCTATCCCCAGGATGTGCCCACCTCCATCTGCCCTGCCCCAGGGATCTGTCCTTGCCCCGCTGGGACCTACCCTGCCCCTGGGATGGCTCCTCAGGATCTACCTTCCCCTTGGGATTAATTACTGGGATCTGTTTTCACCCCCAGGGATCTACCGCTAGGATGCAACCCTCCCCCCACCCTGGGATCTACCCTGCCCCTCTCCTGGGATTTACCCCCATCCCCTGGACCTAGCCCCAGGAGATACTCTGCCCCGCTGGTCTCCATCCTTGGGATCTCTTCTGCCCCAGGGGTCTCCCCCCGCCCCCAGGACTATCCTGGGGGTCTCCGGCAGCCTCCCAACCCCACTTCTCCTCCCCTCCAGACCCTGACCTGAAGACGGACGGCTTCGGCATCGCCACGTGCCGCAGCATGGTGGCCGTCATGGACGTATCCTCTTCCCTCCCGCGGTATCCCCGTGCCCCCCAACCAGGGGGACCCACCCCCTCCATGCCCCACACCCGTCCCGGTGGTCGCTAAAGCCCCAGCTAGTGCCCCTGGGTCTCTCCCCCCACCCCTGGGGGGAGCTGGGACACCCCCATAGCAGAGTATGGGCATGAGATCCCCCCCTCCAGGCCCCCTTGGCCAGCCTCTCCTTGCCCCCCCATGGGTGGAGGGTCCCCCTGGCCCTGGGGTCTCGTCTCCCCCTTGCGGCTCTGACGGGGCCAAAGTTTCTCCCGAGATCTGACCCTTGACACGGGCGCAGAGCGACACGACGGGGAAGCTCGGCTTCGAGGAGTTCAAGTACCTCTGGACCAACATCAAGAAGTGGCAGGTGAGG